TGGCCAAAACATAATGATATGGGTGCTAATTTTCTCAATTCCCTTCTGTCCACTTACACTCATTTATATTTTTTAATATTTTTTTACGATAACATACAATTTCCAATAAGTGAGTATAAATGAACAAAAAAGGAGTGGGAACATACAATTTCCAACAAAATAAATGTAATGGTGAAAAGATGAGTAGGAAAATCAACTCCCTTAATTTATGGTATGTATCAATTATTCAATTGTCGGACATCATCTAACATGTTGGTGTAAATAGAAGATTCCCTTTTATAAAAAATATCTAGATTGTGCTAAAAAAAACAAGGAAGTTACATAGTCATCATACTCAGGATGAAGACAAGATCCTATTTAAAGAGAAATAATGTTACAAGGCACTTTCTTTTTGGTTTTTTAGCACACGATGCGAATCTAATAAAGAGGTCACAAAGGAAGAGAAGTGCACGAGTAAATGCTCTAAATCATATGAGTTAGAGCATTCATAATCATGCTCCTTATTTTTTAGTTAAAATTTGGTTTAAAACACTAAAAATCTATTTTAGGAACTCCTTATAAAATTTCAACTTCAATCATGCTCTCTAGTTTAGGGAATTATAAATGATTTAATATATTTTTTTAGTTTAGCATAAATGTTCCCTCTTCATATAAAATAATAATAACAATTAGTTAGCATTAAGTAAATACTTTAAATAGCATTAAAGTAAAGCAACATTTAATTATAGGGAGCCACTACGAGTCATTTCTCTCTCCTCAGACTAAGAGCTCCTGGAGGTCTCCCTATTTTAGGAGTTAGATGGGGAGCATGGTTGGAGGTGAGGTGAGTTTTCTCACTTCCTTCCTAAATTTTATCTGAGGTAATTTAGGGAGTCTATTGTGGATTACTCAAATGAAATCAGTTAATGTGGCTAAAAATAGAATCATTCTTTAATCCACTCAAATTTTTTTTATAAATATAATTGATAGTCTAAACTACAAGAGAGAGAGAGGTTTCTCACACATATTATCAAGTGCCATGGAATTCGAATATGACACTAACCCGTCTACAACTTTTTCATTGGGAATATATTTGTATGCTCTCACCCATTTCACTGGGAATACATTTGTATGCTCTCACCCATTCTAGGCATAGCGGCATAGCCAGACTACATGCATCACCGGTCGACACACTCCATTTAGTTGTTTGACTGGTAAGACTTTTCTTCTTCCTTTTTTTTTCTTTTATAATTTTAACATTATCCGACATTTTCTTATCTTGACCCATACCCGAATATGCGTACTCCGCAAGTCTAAGGGGAACAGTCAAGCAAATAATAAAAATAATAATGCAACATGTATACAATTTGATCTTGGCCACTCCAGCACTATAAGAGAGACTACATAAGCAACAAACACATACACACACATAATCTGCATTTGATCTTCATTAGTGCAAACACAAACACAAACATATAATCTAAGCCAGATGGGTCCCAAGGCAGCAGCTCATAAACGTCATGTTGTTTGTGTTCCAGCTCCAGCTCAAGGTCATATCAAGGCAAACCTCAAATTTGCAAAGCTCCTCCACCACAGAGGTGTTCATGTAACCTTTGTCAACACAGAGTTCAACCACAACCGCTTTCTAAAATCTCTTGGACCCAACTCCCTTGACGGGTTGCCTGATTTTCGATTCGAAACTATTCCTGATGGCCTTCCAGCTGGTTCAGATCAAGATGCAACCCAAGATGTCACTTTGGTTGCTGATTCCATCCGCAACAAACTCTTGGCCCCGTTTCGAGACCTCCTTAAGAAACTCGATGACAGATCAACTTCCAACAGTGATATCAATCCTCCAGTGACTTGCATTGTTTCAGATGGTTTCATGCCATTCACAACCACAGCTGCAGAAGAAATTGGAGTTCCTGTAGTGCTTTTGTTCACTATTGCTGCATGCAGCTTCATGGGCTGCAAGCAATTCCCTGCTTTGGTGGAAAAAGGTCTTGCGCCACTCAAAGGTGAAATAAATGTTTTTTAAGGAATTATTTGTATGATATTATTGATTAACAAATGTTAAATCTTACTTCGGGTGTTAATTATGTAGATGAGAGCTGTTTGACGAATGGCTTCTTGGACAAGGTAATAGATTGGATTCCAGGAATGAAAGGTATTCGTTTGAGGGATCTACCGACGACTTTTCGAACTACAGATCCCAATGACATGATGTTTAACTTCGCCTTGGAATCAATTGAAAGAGTTCATAAAGCTTCAGCAGTTGTGCTTCATACTTTTGACGCATTGGAGCCAGATGTTTTGAATGCTTTGTCATCTATGCTTCCACTTGTTTATGCCATTGGCCCTGACCAATTACTTCTCAATCAATTACCAGAAGACCCTTTGAAGCATATTGGATACAGTTTATGGAAAGAAGAACCTGAATGCCTTGAATGGCTAAAATCCAAGGCACCAAATTCAGTTGTGTATGTGAATTTCGGCAGCATAGCCGTCCTGACACCACAACAACTTGTTGAGTTTGGATGGGGACTTGCAAATAGTAAGCTTCCTTTCCTTTGGGTAATCAGGCCTGATTTGGTTGTTGGTGAATCAGCAATTTTGCCACCTGAGTTTGTAGCTGAAACAAAGGAAAGAGGTCTAATAGCAAGTTGGTGCCCACAAGAGCAAGTCCTTAACGACCCATCAGTCGGAGGGTTTTTAACACACGGCGGTTGGAATTCAACCATTGAGAGTTTGTGTGCAGGAGTGCCTATGCTTTGTTGGCCATTCTTTGCAGACCAACAAACAAACTGTTACTATGTTTGCAATGATTGGGGAATTGGCTTGGAGATCAACAATGATGTCAAGAGAGACCAAGTAGAGAAGCTTGTTAAAGAATTAATGGAAGGAGAGAAGGGTAAGAAAATGAAAAATAAGGTCATGGAGTGGAAGAAACTAGCAGAAGAAGCCACCAGTCCACATGGTTCTTCATCCACAAACTTAGACAATTTAGTGAATAAAGTGCTATTGAGAAAGGGTTAAAGATGTTTCCATAAGAATATTGATTTTATTAATTATCATTTCCATTGCCAGTCTCAAATAATCAACTAGCCTTGTGTGCAATATATATGTACTGCCGGTCTAGAATTTTATTCTGATTAAGGTTTCACTACGCTTCAAGCCTTCAACTCTAATGTCTCATCATTCTTCAGGCGATTGTGCACTAACCATGATGCATTATATTAATAATATATTAAATCAATAGAACCATCCCAAGTGATTGAGTTAGATTCGCCGTTGGCAGTAACCACACTTGTTTTGGTAAGAGCAGTTATTGAATGTAAATTAAAAGTAAACGATTATCATTATGTTAGAGATAAGCATATAATTTCTTATTGTTAAATTGTTAAATGCTTAAGGAAAAAAAAAAAAAAAAAAAAAAAAAAAAAAAACACAAAAAAAAGAAAAAGAAAAGAGAAAATCCAAATCCTACTTTGTTTCCTCGTCCTTCCTTATTACCTTAATATGTTTGACAGCTGAGATTCTTGGGCCTTACCATTAGGAACCTACAGCATTTAAATAGCATTTGAGATAAGCTCAACAGCTACAGATGAAATCAGACTCGATCAACAAGGCAATACCATGCACACCCAAGTTCCACTCAATATATAATAAATTCCGCATAACTCTGAAGAACATGTCTCCCAGCTACCAAGATACACATAAAGCACACCCTCCAACCACATCACCATAATTATGATGAACTCAGACTTTTCTAAGATTCTATATATAGCCAAACCAAAGGTAAATCGGCTGACATCTTTGACTTATGTGGAGACCAAAGATAAGACCCTGCTACAAGTTGTGGACTGGACTATGGCTGGCCAGTATAACTCGTCCACCTGTTATAATTTGTAGACAAGTTGAAAGTCTCGCCCGACCACTAGTCCTATAAAAATATAAATAATCTCCATTTGTAGCATTGGAGCACAAAATATGAGTTCCACGATGGTAGGTGACAATAAGCCTCATGTTGTTTGTGTTCCAGTCCCAGCTCAAAGCCATATAAAAGGCATGCTCAAGTTGGCAAAGCTCCTTCACAACAGAGGTTTCCACATAACTTTTGTCAACACAGAGTTCAACCACAGACGCTTTCTTAAGTCTCAAGGCCCCAACTCTCTTGATGGCTTGCCTGATTTTGGTTCGAAACGATTCCAGATGGCCTTCCAGACTCGGATGAAGATGCCACTTGACAGGACCCGCCCCGAATTTCCCAGAACCCGAGACGATTCCTGCGGAGACCTCGGCATCACACCCATGCCGGGTTCACTCCTTAAAACTATGTCCTCTTTTACCAAAGAGGATTAAGGGCACAAGACTTTCTGCCGAAGTTTCGACAGAGTATCCCCTGTAAATTGAACATTCCCTAAAATTTCCACCTGCATAAAACACATTTTATAACCCAACCAGTAGCAAGCACAATATAATATCATGCAATTTACATAAATGGCCTCCGGCCTTCAAATGATTCTAGCAGAACTGCCCACACTGTTTTTAAAATAACTTAATGCATCAAACATGCATATAACATATTTAAAATTTATTTATGCACACCTTCGCTCACTCAGTCCACATGACAAGTCTCAATTCAACCAAGTTTCGGGACCAACCACAAGGTCCGCATCATACTCGATAAAACCACCTAAGTGGTGTCTAGGCCGTGGCTACACCTAGGCGCTATCCCAGGTTGCCTACGTACCCTACTAAGGGATCAAGCCACACGTAGCTCTTTCCTACCATTCCTGGCTCCTAATATCAACTAAACCATTACCGCCATACAATTTCATACATTCTAGGATTTATCCATCACAACTCACCAAAACAATCACAATATCACTCCTCATACGTCGGGACGCACCCGGCCACTTATGGGGTCTGTTAACACGCCGGCTAATCCAAAGACGCGTGTGACCTCAACACTGGGCCTGACTACATTCTCACCAGCCCGCACACAATCATATCCCCCCTCATACGTCGGGACGCACCCGGCCACGTATGGGGTCTGTCAACACGCCAGTTAATCCAAAGACGCGTGCGACCTCAACACTGGGCCTGGCTACATTCTCACCAGCCATCATTCTGTTCGCTTTGGGCCTGGCTACATTCTCACCATCCATCATATTGTTTGCTTTGGGCCTGGCTACATTCTCACCAGCCATCATACTGTTGTTCACTTTGGGCCTGGCTACATTCTCACCAGCCATCATATTGTTTGCTTCGGGCCTAGCTACATTCTCACCAGCCATCATACTGTTTGCTTTGGGCCTAGCTACATTCTCACCAGCCATCATACTGTTCACTTTGGGCCTGGCTACATTCTCACCAGCCATCATATTGTTCACTTTGGGCCTGACTACATTCTCACCAGCCATCATATTGTTCACTTTGGGCCTAGCTACATCATATTGTTCACTTTGGGCCTGGCTACATTCTCACCAGCCATCATATTGTTCACTTTGGGCCTGGCTACATTCTCACCAGCCATCATACTGTTGTTCACTTTGGGCTTGGCTACATTCTCACCAGCCACAAGGGTTTAAAGGCCTCAACATAATCACAATATGGGGGGGAAGGGGTACGTGGGGTAGTGAGTATAGCACTGTAAACTAACATTCGATCCCTTTATATACTTTTATACATCCCCACAATTAATTAAATATATAATATAATTTCTAATCTTACATCAACCTCAACCAATAAAGCATTCCATAAACTCCCCCATTTAAATTCATCAATTTATATCCTAAACCAATAATATCCATTTAACTCAACAACGCTCAAGACCTGTCACTAAGGTCATCCTAACCCTCAAGGAAAGGTAAGACTATCTCGGAAGTCTCACGGTCAACCTAGGGTCAAACGGGCCCGCGGGGCCCACAACCTCCAAATTCCGATCCAAAAGTTCCTATAGGTTCTACAGGCTCTAGGACACATGTCCTGCAAGTTTGGTCCAGATCGGACGGTCGGATCGCTCACGATCGCAGGATCGGACGGTTACTAAAACCCTAACCCCAGGGTTGACATTTCCGGAGTATCCGGGACTCCATTTTACGATCCGTTGAATCCTACACGATCCTGGTAATACTTAGATCAACATATTATAACTTCAGGACCATCCAACGGTCCAAACCTAGCGAACCCGGAAAATACGCGATATGCGATATCCGTTCGGGACTCTAACGGTACCCAAAATGAGATCCGAGCACACCCACGCGCTCGTGACATTGAGAGGATCATAGTGGGACAAAAATGCCCCTCAACTACAGTGCCCACGCGCCGGCAGCGTGTGGGTGTCCAAAGCGATATCGCATCGCCGGAAAACTTCCAAATCGAGAGCCAAGACTCCTACCCTAGGTAATACACCTAATTTGGAGTCACTTTTGTTCTTGGACGTACCCCAAAAACCGACCGGAAGTGGCCGGAATCTCCCCTTGAAATCCGGTCGAAACCCAATTCGTAAATCGAGTTGCCTACGCTACAAATTGATCAATTCCTACCCAACAGGCAGCTAGAGCTCAGAAAATAGGTGAGAAACCATACCTCACTTGCCTGAACTGGTGGCTGGACGACGGAGAACGAAGCCGGTGAAGTTTCTGTCAAAACCGGAGCTTTTCTCCTCGTTTTCCCGCGAAATCACGGCGGCTGGCGGCGGGACCTGGCTGGGGTAGGAAGAGGGCGGCGGCCCGATCATTTTGGTACCGGCCCCGTCAAGTTTGGTGGCCCGACGAGAGCACGGCAGGCCAAAACGTGGCCGGCTGTTTCAGCCGTCGCGAACCAGAGGAGAGAGAGAGGGATGCGCGGGAGAGAGATAGAGAAATGAGGGCAATTCCGTCTTTTAACCAAAAATCCATTTCAAAATATTTACGGTTTTGTCACTGAGGGTATTTGGATCGTATCTCTCTCGTTACAACTCCGATTCGAGCCCACTACGTGTCTACGAACTCATCTCGCCGTGCTCTACGCAACGGTACATCCAGAATTCCCAAATTCCTTCCGGATAAGAAAATGACTAAAATACCCCTATCCCACGGGTAAATTCTTAATTTCGCTCAAATTAATTAAAACAGGAGATAAATTTGGAGTCGGGGTGTTACACCACTCAAGACATCACATTGCTTGCTGAGGTCGTTGTAAAAGATGGTTTTCTGGCTCCTTTTCGTAACCTCCTCATAAAACTCAATGATATAGCAACTTCAGATAATCCTCCAGCGACTTGCATTGTTTCCGATGGTTTCATGTCGCCGTTCGCCATTTCAGCTGCTGAAGAATTTGGACTCCCTATTGCACTCTCCTTCACTATTGTTGCACGCAGCTTCATGGGAACTATGCATTTTCGCGCTTTGGTCGAAAAAGGACTTGCACCACTGAGAGGTGACATTAATTAATAACCATATACTAATTGAAGTGATTAACTGTTTTTTTTTTTAAAATTTTTTTTTATTTGGGTATGAAAGATTAGTGGCAGTTGGTCTTCCATTTCTTGTCATTGGGTGTATCCAATTCAAATTTTTATGACTCTTATAGGGTTTAAAAGTTAGGAGATATTCAATTTAGATTTTTAAAGAGTTTATAAAAGTCTAGTGGTATTCGATTGTGACTTTTAAAAGTACTTAAAAGTTTAGTGGTATTCAGTTGTGACTTTTAAATAGTCTTTACAAAGTTTGGTGGTATTCAAAAAGTTAATTACTTTTAAAAAGCTTATTAAATGAATGATTTTTGTATACTTTTAAAGCTAATTCTTAAAAACAAAAGTCTTGCCAATTTTATCAACTCTATGAAAGTGTTTAAGAATATGTAACCCTAGGAATGTGAGAATGTGAAGGTAAAGAGTCTTACATTGTAAAGTGGAGAAACCTAGCAAGGGCTTATAAGGAGTTGGGCTACTCCCCTCATTGCATTCGCCACACGTGCGGGGGCATGTGAGAATGTGAAGGTAAAAAGTCCCACATTGGAAAGTTGAGAAACCTAGCAAGGGCTTATAAGGAGTTGGGCTACTCCCCTCATTGTCAATTAGTTTTGGGGTGGAACCTCAACGTCCTTCAAGGAAACTTACTCACTTAAAAAAAAGTCTTTATAAGTATAGATTGGATACACCCCCTAGTCTTGGTCTAGTTTGTTCAATAAAGTCTAGAAACTCTATGAGTTTTCTGTGTTGTTTTTCTTTCATAATTCCGGAAACTATGGCATTTGAGTATTGTTTTCCTTTCATAATTCCGGATACACCCATGTTCCCCATACTGCTAATGGGATGGCTCCATTTATAGTATTTGTCCTTTGTACTTTTTTTGTTGATCTAATAAATTATCTCATGTTTATTATTATTTTTTTTTTAAATTACAACAACAAAAAAAAAAAAAAAAAAAAAAAAAAAAATGCAAAATGAAAAAAACTAGAAATGGTAAAGGATCTTACCTTAGCTTTATGGCCTACTATTTATCCATTTTTTTAAGGTACCTACTTAAAATGGAAAATTTTCTTTGTTTAGCTAATTAACTGAGTGTTATAATGCAGACGATAGAGCTTCTTAACAAATGGCTTTTTGGACGAGGTCATTGATTGGATTCCAGGAATGAAAGGCATGCGTTTGAGGGATCTCCCATCCTTCCTTCGAACCACAAATCCGGATGATGTCTTGCTTACCTTGGGCTTAGTGGTATCGGATGTAGTTCATAAAGCTTCAGCACTTGTTCTTTTTGCATTTGATGCTTTGGAACAAGGTGTTTTGACTGCTCTCTCATCTATGCCTAATATTCCACCTGTTTATACCATTGGTCCTATTGAATTACTTCTCAATCAAATACCAAGAGACCCTTTGAACTTTATCGGATATAGTATGGAAAGAAGAAACTGAGTGCCTCCAATGGCTAAACTCCATGGCAACAAACTCAGTTGTTTATGTGAATTTTGGGAGTATAACGGTCATGACGCCAAATAAACTTGTTGAGTTTGGTTGGGGACTTGCAAATAGCAAGCTTCCTTTCTTTTCATCCACAAACTTTGACAATCTAGTGAATCAAGTTCAGTTAAGGAAAAGGTAGATGTCATCCTTAAGAACATTGTCTTACTAGATGTTATTGGTACAATATATAGTAATGTTTGTTGGTCTTTTAATAATTAGAAAAAATGTACCCCATTTTATATAAACTAGTTTATACTTTTTTTTATTTTTATAAAAATATATTTAAAGAGGGATTATTTGAAGGACACCCTTGTAGAACCCACTCTACATTGTAGTTCACTAATCCAAACCATATATTTTATAGATATTCATTCAAAAATCATCTTTACAAAAAATCACTTGAATTCGATATCATTTGACCACTCAATTAAATTATTGAAATTTAAATACTTTCTTTAAGCACCGTGTTCATTGATTTTGTTAATTTCAATTAGATGCCTTGATGATTTTCAATTTGCATGATTTTTTGAAAAGACAATCTCTGAAAGACGATGTGAAAAATAAATGGTTTGAAAAATAGATGAATTGAATTGTTGAAATTTTTTTTGTAAGGGATTCTAAAGGTTGTCCTTCAAATTAAATTATATGAGGAATTCCTCCATGCGGTGGTGGAGGCACATTGGAACTAGTGCAGTCCCAGGCCCCACTCAGTTATAAAAAATGAATATAGTATGTTATATAACCTATATTAATTAGTATAATACTTTACAAGACGGGACCCTACCTAGCCTAACTTACCTTTCCTCCAAGCCTATGCCCCCTTTTGCAAACCCATTCCCAAAAGTTTAAATAAAACTATTATTATTATATTACTGTTTTATACAAATCGCTAGCTAAAACCAAAGAGATTTTAATCCCTTTTTCTATTTTATTGGCGCATATAGGGACTGATATATATATATATATATATATATATACACACATTATTTGATATGCAATTCAAATTAAGGCTTAATATTATAACTAGTTTATACTTTCTATGAAAATGAAATGTAAACCAATTATGTAGCACCTATATATATTATTTGATATGCAATCCAAATTAAGGCTTAATATTATAACTAGTTTATACTTTTTATGAAAATGAAATGTAAACCAATTATGTAGCACATTTAGGGTGCTGCCAGCACTCTATAACATACTTTCTGCCTTTATTTACTTGGCTCTTTTTTTGTTTTTAGAAATTTGGGAATTGCATTCATAATTCAATCAAAAAAGTCACTAGCCATAAAGGGTAATTACAATAACGAAACAATCTAACATGGATTGAAGAAACTCTGGCATAGATATTCCAACTAAGATTGCAAATTTAAAATAATCAAAAAGATATAAAGCTTGAAAAAATCAAGTCATAATAATACAAATAAAATTCTCACAACGAAGGAGAGGTGAAAAGTTTTTACAAAAGAGAGGTAAAAAGTTCTCACAAAAGAAGATATGAAAACTATATAAAAAACCTAAAGAGTCTTCGCGATTTATTTCAAACATAAAGAAATCACAAAAAGAATGGTAGTGAAGATCCAGATGCAGAAATTAAAATGCAAGGACAAGACAAACAACCTTAATTAAAGTGCACAAGAAGAAGATCCTGAGATCCTATCTTACGAACTACCTCTACAAAAAGTCACACCTAGCTTTCGGCTGCCCTCCAGGCTGGCTTCTCTTTGTTAATCTTTTCTTTTCAAAAAAAACAAAACAAAACAAAACTGAAACAGCGGTTATTGGAATCAATACATGGCATTAATTTGAGATAAGCTCCAGGCTGGCTACAGAGATTTATCAGACTCAGACAACCATGCACGCTCTGCTCAATAATAAATTTCCCATAACCTCGAGCAGCCTGAAGAACCTGTCCCCAGCTACCAAGATTCACATTGAGTACCCTCCAAACCCCATCACCATAATTATGAATTTATGATCACCCTCAGACTTACTATTTATATATAGACAAGGTAAATCGACCGACGTGTTTCATCATGTAGGTGCCAACAAACGAAAAAGAAGATGGGCAAAAACCAGTCACTCGTTGAAAGTTAGCTAGCCCACCAGTCCTATAAATAAATAAATAATCTCCCCATTTGTACGAGTGAGCACAAAAAAGATCTAAAACATGACGTCCACGATAGTAGCTCATAATAAGCCTCATGCTGTCTGTGTTCCAGTCCCAGTTCAGAGCCATATAAAAGCCATGCTCAAGTTGGCAAAGCTCCTTCACAACAGAGGCTTCCACATAACCTTTGTCAACACAGAGTTCAACCACAGACGCTTTCTTAAGTCTCAAGGCCCCAACTCTCTTGATGGCTTGCCTGATTTTCGGTTCGAAACCGTCCCCGATGGCCTTCCGGACTCAGATGAAGATGCAACGCAAAATGTCACTTTGCTTGCTGAGGTCGTTGTAAAAGATGGTTTCTTGGCTCCGTTTCGTAACCTCCTCATAAAACTCAAGGACTCAGCAACTTCCAATAATAATCCCCCGCTGACTTGCATTGTTTCCGATGGTTTCATGTCGCCGTTCGCCATCAAAGCTGCCGAAGAATTTGGACTCCCTATTGCACTCTTCTTCACTATTGCTGCATGCAGCTTCATGGGATTTAAACAATTTCGCGCTTTGGTCGAAAAAGGACTTGCACCACTCAAAGGTCAGATTAATTCATATTTACACTTTTCTATCATACTTTATTTATCTTATAATTTATTTAACAAATTGAAAATGGGAATAGCATCGTACATTATATATATGATCGATTGTGTAACTGCTCTTTTTAAACATACCTCAAATGGATATTTTCCCCATTTAGCTAATTATTAATTGGTTGTTAATGTAGATGAGAGCTGCTTAACGAATGGATTTTTGGACAAGGTCATAGATTGGATTCCAGGAATGGAAGGTATACGTTTAAGGTATCTCCCATCTTTCTTTCGAACCACAAATCCGGACGATGTCTTGCTTAAATTGAGCATGGTGGTAACAGATGAAGTTCATAAAGCTGCAGCACTTGTACTTCTTACATTTGATGCTTTGGAAAAAGATGTTCTGAGTGCACTCTCATCTATGCCTAATATTCCACCAGTTTATACCATTGGCCCTATCGAATTACTTCTCAATCAGATACCAAAAGACCCCTTGAAGAACTCTGCTGGGTACAGTCTATGGAAAGAAGAAACTGAATGCCTCCAATGGCTGAATTCCAAGGCACCAAACTCAGTTGTTTATGTGAACTTTGGGAGCATAACGGTCATGACACCAAATCAACTTGTTGAGTTTGGTTGGGGACTCGCAAATAGCAAGCTTCCTTTCTTCTGGGTAATTAGGCCAGATTTGGTTGTTGGTGAATCAGCAATTTTGCCACCAGAGTTTGTAGCTGAAACAAAAGAAAGAGGTCTAGTAGCAAGTTGGTGCCCACAAGAGCAAGTCCTTAACCACGCATCAGTCGGAGGGTTTTTGACGCACAGTGGCTGGAATTCAACCCTTGAGAGTCTAACTGCAGGTGTGCCTATGCTTTGCTGGCCATTTTTTGCTGACCAACAAACTGACTGTTACTATACGTGCAATGAATGGGGCATTGGCATGGAGATTGATAATGATGTCAAGAGAGATGAAGTAGAGAAGCTTATTAAAGAGTTAATGGAGGGAGAGGAGGGTAAGAAAATGAAAAATAAGGCCATGGAGTGGAAGAAACTTGCAGAAGAGGCAACTGGTCCTCATGGTTCTTCATCCACAGGCTTTGACAATCTAGTCAATCAAGTTCTGTTAAGGAAAAGTTAGATGTCATCCATATAAGAGCACCTAATTGGCGAGGCAATAGCTTACCAAGGTGATAGAAACATGTACTCTCTTGTGACATTACCAAGGCAATAGCACAAGTTTATTTTAACTCTAATAAAAATCACAATAGATGACGTCTAGTGTCGGAACAAATGATAGTTACAAATTAAATTAAAAGCGATGTTAAAGACAATAGCGTACGTGAGCAGTTGCATCACATCTTTTTAACATTTAGTAATTGGTACATACTGATATGAGATGTGCGGTCGTCTATTCACCCTTTAAATATATGGTTGTATGGTTGGCAATGGCCAAAACATAATGATATATGAGCCCCGATTAATTCTCCTTTGTTCAATTATACTTTTTTGAATTTCTTTTAATATTTTATGAAAGCATACAATTTCCAACAAGGAAATGTAAATGAACAAAAGAGGAGTATGAATAAACAATATTATTTCCAATAAAATAAGTGTAAGTAGACAAAAAATAAGTGGGAAAATTGTAGAACATCATCTCGCATGTTGGTATAAATAGAAGATTCCCTTGTATAAATAATATCTAGATTGTGCTAGACAACAAGGAAGGCAAATAGAGTCATCATACACGGATGAAGATAAGATCCTATTTATTAAAGAGAAATAATGTTACGAGGGACCACATTTTTTTTTTAAGCACGCGATGTGAATCTAATAAATAAAAAAAATCACAAGGAACAGAAGTGCATGAGTAAATGCTCTAAATCATCTGAGTTAGAACACCTTGTATTTTTACTAAATCACTATAAACACTGAGCCTGATATTTGTAATTCAACTTAGCCCACTAAATAACAAAAGAAAAAGAAAAAAAAAGAGCATTCATCAATTTAGCCCAAAGCCCAATTATTTCTAATCCACTCAATCTTTTTTTTAATACAATCGATAGTCCATACTACCAACAAAAAAAAAGAGAGGTTTCTCACACACATATATTATCAAGTGTCATGAGATTCGAACCTTAAATCATTGATTTGCAAATCAAGGCACTTTTCCATTAAGAATATATTTTTATGCTCTCATATTAACAAATCCTCATCCACGACCACAAATCTACCCTCTATTTTTCTACCTTTGATGCATCCATCGGTCTACACACTCCATTTAATTGTTTGACTGGTAAGATTTTTATTCCTTTTTTTATTTTTTTATTTTAACATTTTCTTATCTTGGCGGTTTGCAAGACTAGTAATCGATACTTGTTGTCAATTTGATCTTGGCCACTCCACCACTTTAAAAGAGACTACATAAGCAACAAACACATACACACACATAATCTGCATTTGATCTTCATTAGTGCAAACACAAACACAAACACAAACATATAATCTAAGCCAGATGGGTTCCAAGGCAGCAGCTAATAAACCTCATGTTGTTTGTGTTCCAGCTCCAGCTCAAAGTCATATCAAGGCAAACCTGAAATTTGCAAAGCTCCTCCACCATAGAGGTGTTCATGTAACCTTTGTCAACACAGAGTTCAACCACAACCGCTTTCTTAAATCTCTTGGACCCAACTCCCTTGACGGGTTGCCCCATTTTCGATTCGAAACTATTCCTGATGGCCTTCCAGCTGGTTCAGATCAAGATGCAACCCAAGATGTCTCTTTGGTTTCTGATTCCATCAACAACAAACTCTTGGCCCCATTTCGAGACCTCCTTATGAAACTCAATGACAGATCAACTTCCAACGGTGATATCAATCCTCCGGTGACTTGCATTGTTTCAGATGGTTTCATGCCATTCACAACCACAGCTGCAGAAGAAATTGGAGTTCCTATAGTGCTTTTGTTTACTATTGCTGCATGCGGCTTCATGGGCTATAAGCAATACCCTGCTTTGGTGGAAAAAGGTCTTGCGCCACTCAAAGGTGAAATAAATGTGTTTTAAGAAATTATTTGTATGATATTATTGATTAACAAATGTTAAATCTTACTTTGGGCGTTAATTATGTAGATGAGAGCTGCTTGACAAATGGCTTCTTGGACAAGGTAATAGATTGGATTCCAGGAATGAAAGGTATTCGTTTGAGGGATCTACCGGCGAATTTTCGAACTACAGATCCCAATGACTTCGTGTTTAACTTGTCCTTGGAATCAATTGAAAGAGTTCATAAAGCTTCAGCAGTTGTGCTTCATACTTTTGACGCATTGGAGCCAGATGTTTTGAATGCTTTGTCATCTATGCTTCCACTTGTTTATGCCATTGGGCCTGACCAATTACTTCTCAATCAATTACCAGAAGACCCTTTGAAGCATATTGGATACAGTTTATGGAAAGAAGAAACTGAATGCCTTGAATGGCTAAAATCCAAGGCACCAAATTCAGTTGTGTATGTGAATTTTGGCAGCATAGCAGTACTGACACCACAACAACTTGTTGAGTTTGGATGGGGACTTGCAAATAGTAAGCTTCCTTTCTTTTGGGTGATTAGGCCTGATTTGGTTGTTGGTGAATCAGCAATTTTGCCACCTGAGTTTGTAGCTGAAACAAAGGAAAGAGGTCTAATAGCAAGTTGGTGCCCACAAGAGCAAGTCCTTAACGACCCATCCGTCGGAGGTTTTTTGACACACGGCGGTTGGAATTCAACCATTGAGAGTTTGTGTGCAGGAGTGCCTATGCTTTGTTGGCCATTCTTTGCAGACCAACAAACAAACTGTTACTATGTTTGCAATGATTGGGGAATTGGCTTGGAGATCAACAATGATGTCAAGAGAGACCAAGTAGAGAAGCTTATTAAAGAATTAATGGAGGGAGAGAAGGGTAAGAAAATGAAAAATAAGGTAATGGAGTGGAAGAAAATAGCAGAAGAAGCCACCAGTCCACATGGTTCTTCATCCACAAACTTAGACAATTTAGTGAATCAAGTGCTCTTAAGAAAAACCTAGACTATTTTCATTAAAGTTTTAATCCTGCGTACCATTAGGCCTCTCTTCTCTCTCTAGGAACCTACAGCAGCAGCCGCCGCCCCTTTTGTGGGTCGGTCGCTGGCTCCCCCTCCTCCTCTCCTATCGTCCCCTCATCCCCTCCCCTACTCTTTTCCCAGCTCTTCCTCTTTCCTCTCCTCTCTTCTTCTCCCCATCTTTCTCCCCTCTCCTCCCTCCCTTATACCCGCCCCCTCTGCTTATCAGCCTCCCTTCCTCCCTTCCTCCTTGCCCCTCCTTTCCTTTTGCTCCTTCCCTCCCTCAGAGTTTTTGGCTGGGATTGTGTGACTGGCTCGTTTGGTTTTTCGGTTTTCTTTGTTGCAGATCTAGAGTTGTCAATTTTCGAGTTGCTTTGGGACCACTTTGCTGCCTCTGTTGGTTGCTTTGCAGATCTTGGTCGACTTTGGTTGCTGCTTTTTTTTCGTGTTTTTTGTTGCAGTTTCGGTGTTGATTTTAGTGCACTCTTTTGAGAGTGTCGCTTGTTGCGGTCTCAATTTGTATTTTATTTCACTTGTGAGAGTTACAAGTTGTAGTTGCATTTGTAGTTTGGGTGTCTAGGTCGTTTGGGGCGTATTGTGAAGATTTCAGAGGGATTAACCTTTGGCCCACCATTAGCAACATCAATATTGTTCCCAACTTAACCACTTGTTTAGCAGGTGTGGGGTTTTATACAAAAGTCCTCGATTTTACTTAGTGTGGGGTTTTATACAAAAAAACCTCAATTTTACTTGGACAGCTGTATTATAATTCCAGAAAATGAGGAAGAAGATTTCACTTGGACATTTGTTCCAAAAACCAACAATATACAGGCACCAAGTAAGTAACATCTGCATGATAACTCACAAGATCAAAGATAGGCATGGTTTCTATAGAGGTAGCTGATCAGAAGCCTCATGCTTTATGTATCCCATTCCCA